GTTCATTTTTCATTGCTTTGGTACACGAGAACCAGCTAAAGTAAATTGTTTTGTCTTGCTTGAGGTAATCCGTCATAACCAAATGAAGAGTATGTGAGACTATTTGAGCGTGCTTCAGCTGTTCGACACATTCGAACCCAACATTCGGCTTTCACTTTCCATGGTTGGCTTAAACCGTTCGGCTGTAGCACCCTTTCGGTGCCTAGCTGCCATGACACCCGAAGGTCGCCCAAGCCTAGACAGGGGAGTCGGGAGGCCAGAGGTCGCGTTCGAACCACGGACCTTCTGGTTAGTAAATTCGCGCTCTAACCACTTGGTCCATCTTGCCCCATCGTCGGCTTGGGAAGAGAAGAGTTTATACCGGAGCTGCAAGGGTTTGCCCTGCAGTATGCTGTTTCTAATGATGCAGAACGTCGTTCCGAAATGCGAGCACGAACACGGGAATTCATTTTGCAGCGTGATCAGACCATCCTTCAAACAATCAAGCTCATTTGGCCTTGTCTAATTTAGGTCACTCCAGATAGTCCGAGATACTCAAGTAGCACCTCAGGAAATGTCCAGATCCAGGTTAAGTGGCCTGCGATCTCCGAATGAAAAGAAACTCGAGTCGGATGCTTATTTTGGTGGTTGGAGTACAACTCGCTCTTCAATGCGCTCAAAACTTTGCACGAACCTCCATGAGATCACATTTCACGTGTCGAATTCGGCTTGAATCGGTATCAGTTGTTGCAAACTTTCTGTCAACACGTGACGTAACCTTTTGATCAAACATACAAAGCCAACTTGAACTGGGAGAATGATTGCACCTCAGTGTCCCGTAATCTAATTACCAGTGCATTCATGCAACCCAGCGGGTGGGACACAACAACATAGCAACTAAGAATCCATAGTTTCTACATTCGTTTTCTCACAATAGTGTAGTGTAGTGTAGTGATGGATGAATGTTCTTCCCTGCGGGTGGTCGTAAATGTCTTGGTTAGCAAGTTTCAAGTTTCTCGCTTATTTTTGTATCAGCTTCATACCACAATCGATAGAAATCTTTTTGAAGTGTTGAACAATCACATACGAAGTAACTTGGCAATAGTAGTATATTGACGGTCGCATTTCATGGGAGCATCAGGAGGGAAATTACTTCAGATGATGCCTCTAAGTAGATTTAGACTTGGTGTTTTATATATTTGAGCAAAACTCTGATTTGTTTATTTCTTCTTTGTTCTTCATGGCGTTGAAGACGTACTGTTAGGAAGTGCGATAAAAATAGCCGCCGTTATATGGTAGCCGTGGCAACAGGGCAAATGTTTCACTCTGTTGTGTTTCCTGACCTTCTAACCAGCTGCGAGTATAAGCTATCTGGGTGCAAATTACTCTCTAGAGTGAGGCCTGATAGTCATAAGGCGATCCGCTGGAAACAGCGCTGTCGTTTTGCTTGCACGCCAGACAGCCAGCGGTCACCAAAACTCAGTCCGATATCCTTAGTAGAGTAAAATCTCCTCCTGAGACTATCCGTTTACGACGGGATTATATGCACACATTCTCTTCGATTTTGGCAGCGCGCACCCTAACGTGGTAGCCTCGTTCTCCGCATTGTTTGTCTCATTACCCGGTTGTAAACATATTGTCATTCAATCTAGTGTAATGCGTTAAGGGTGGGGGGCGATTCGTCCGTTGACCTTTTAACGGCTCCCTAGTTGGTTTTGGGTACTATTTTTAGCAGGTGTCCGATGTGTTGTTTGTTTTGAATCCATTCGAGCCCGTGATCCTCCCTTGGTTCTTCATATTTCTCCTAGTTGACCACATCGATCCACTATAACTCTACCACCTCACGAGTTGTTTTCCATAAGCGACCAGCTTTTGTTGTCATTGTGTGTATGCACAGCACCGGAATCGCGACCAGCTGTATCACATTGTCACCAGATGGGCACGAGAGTGAGGAAATTGGTCGAATATGCCGCAGTCACAAAGCAACGCGCACGCACGCACGCACGAATCTGCCTTTTACTCCGTCCGTGGGATGATAACGAAAGCCGGTATAATGACGTTTATGGTGATAAGGCAGAAATATCACATCTGTTCTCAAAAGTTTCAAGTTTGTGATGCGCTTGGTTCAGGAAAGGACGTTTTAACCTTCTTTTCTGGTTTTGAGCGTACCTCGAATGCGTGTCGCCTGAAATCACTCATAAAAACCTCTCTCTTCGAATGACAAGCGGAACAGGGCGAACCGGAAGCAATACGTGCCTGGCACCTTGTGTGTGTGGGTATCTTTGGCTTCGATCCATTGTTTCCCTATCTCGGTGAAACTATATCCCCTTTGGTTTGCGAACCAAGTCTTGACTGGCGGGGAACTCATGCGTGCGAGTAAACCGGCTGTGTATAACTCACAGTCAGACTTTCATATCAGAATCACGGAGTTTACGTGATCGGGAAGGCTTGATACGATTTCACCTCCTCAGTTGGGGAAACCTTAGGTTCCCGCGCCATGGCTCAACAGCTGCGTACCGTTTCTAACGACATTCAGCCGAACCACAAACTAGGGTAACTAGTCAATTAACAGCTTTGCTCAACCTCCAGAATTTGATCAGGGTTCTGGAAACACAGGACATACGATGTTTTTTGCCACCTATCTGGTCGGTGAACGTTTCTTATCAATTACTTTCTCAGGTGCTCTGATGTATTGGCGTGTGTTTGGATCAATCACGACAACTCGGGATAGCTCGATGGTTAAGGCGCGAACTAACTCACCGGAAGGTCCGTAGTTCGAACCCGATATTGGCATCTCGACTGCTCCCGTTTCTAGGTTCCAGTATCTCAGCACTCGTGCTTCCATCGGCAACTGGGCGTCAAAAAGGCGTCACAACTGAGTGATTGAAACTGTGTTGTTGCCTCAGCCTACTGTAGCTACTTTGGACTTGAGACCATCAAATGATCAACCAGAAACGGTTAATTAATGATCAACTGATTAAACGAGCGAAATTCGTGCATACTTGACTAGCGGACCGCGGGATCACTCGATATTTCGGATCCATACGCTGCGCTCACACGTCACGAACAGTCTGAAACCCACATAGCCAAGGTGCGTTGCAGAAAGCGAAAGTTCTCTGAGGATACTAACCTAGTGGGATTTTTGAACTTCACCCTGGATGCCATTTGTGCAGATTCCATACTAATTTACAGAAATGTGGGGATCATTCTTGCTGCATACCTCCATTCGCATGAACTGCCATTAAAATGTCTTCGAATTTATTCCTTTGTATCTGTCCCGTAGGTGCATTCCGATGATTTAATCACTGCAGTTTAGTCTCTGATTGGCTGAAACCGTCATCACGTTGCCTGATAAATAATGAATCATGGTGTCAGAAGGCGGAATTAATACAACAGCCATACATTTGCATAGCTCGAATCACCTTGTTTCGTGTTATGCATTCTACTGTCTCGCAGTCTATTCCCCTTCCCCAGAAAAAAAATCAATTCTACGTATCTTTCTTTTCGTTCACCATAAAACACTGCAACTGTTTTGTCCTCTGTCACCGTGTTTTACCGAGCTACGCAGTTTCCTTACGGTTTGTGCCTCTATCCGTTTGTGTTTGGCGCGTGTGACGTGGATCGATCTTTTTTGGCGTGCAGTTCGCAAAGACCTCTGTTTATCCGTTTAGACTGTGTCCTCCGTAAACAGAAACAACAAAGTTCTTGCTTGCTCGGCCACTTACTATTTCTGTCTCATGAACTCGAATCAATTAGGGTCAACTTGAACTATTTTCCAATGAATTTGGTGTCGCTTGAAGATTTCTGCTCGATTGTTTTTCAAGTTGGATGGCCTAGCATGTGTTGTTTTGGTCGAAGAATGGTTTTTCCTTGGCGTATTTGCATGTGCTTATCCGCATAAATTCGGCCTTCCTAAACCTAAACACCTTCAGGCGTTTAGCGAATAATCAATCGACGGAGTTCACCTTTGGGATAGATGTGTCTGACACTTTGCAGATCCTTGATTGGCCATACTTTGTATATCAATATGGCGTGCGTGTGGCCATAATATGCATACTATATAATCGTGTATCGTCTGACGTCTGATTTGATGGCGAGACCACTCATCCTCAGGTTGAATCAGTCCCAGGAGAGTTTTCACAAGTTCGTCGTTCGGGCCACTGTCGGAACCAGTAAAATCGACATGGCCGGATGTGCCAGGCTGTGTTCATTGGAATATCTGAACGACTCGTCCTGTTTTATATATGACCCTTGATCTCCGTGGAACGACTGATTAAGGTGCAAACTTAATAACCGAAAGGCGCGTGGTTCGATCCCGCATCTCGACTGATTCCGTCTGGTCTTGGACAACCTGGCAGTATCCCACCTTCCTTCGAGTGGCGTGGTAGCTAGGCACCCGAACGGTGCTATAAAAGAACGACTACATGGCTACTGCTGATAAAAACTCAGCTTTCAAATATTACCACACGTTAGTGAACAGCTCCCGTATGGAGATTTGGAAGAACGGCATTTTGATTCTCAGTTCAATTCCGAAATTTTATGCCACGAAAAATCCTTCACCTGTACAGATGCTTTCGCGTTGCTGTCAATGCGTACCGATGTATCTGATGTTGAAGTCTCCTAGGGCGACCAGTGGTTTGTCGTTCTTCAGTAAAGCGTTCCTCCTAGAGGGATTGATTCGGATACCGATTTTAGCATCAGAGTCTCTTGATTTGGTTGGATTATCAACTCACAAACCGACGTCACTACCTTATCCTGGTTTGACCACCTAAAATAACAGCAAACCATTTGAGACCCTCGTAACCTTTTACGTTTCCAACTTCCTCGGCAGTATGGTTGCCGCAGAGTTGTGCATTTTCCAAAATTCACTCACCCTAAAAGTACGGTGCCAGGTCAACTATGAAGTAGTTTGTTGATTTCACCAGTTTTTTTCCTGTAAAATAGCTCTCACAGTTATCCTCATGCTGTGCTCAAACGTCGAATGCCCTTTCCAGCTGATGTGTCGCCCTTTTCGTTTCCAGTTGGCCTGAACACTGCAAATGACGTGACTGGGCTGAACTTGGTTCGAATCCAATACAACCCCACGGCGACTCAATTTCGTTCTTGTCTACGTGATTGCTTGGCCCATGCGCTCAACACCGGTCGCGTTTCCGAAACAGAGGCTTCCATTGATGGTCACGTCACGGTGGTCTACGCTGGTCAGGTTATGTCCCACACTGGCGAGTGGCTTCTGGCCGATTGTGCCTTGGATGGGCATCAGGTGCTTTCTTGGCTTGACAGCAAAGCAGCTCGGGTAAGCGCACTTTGCATCCGTTTGCTTTACTCTCAAAGTTCTCTCTCAGGTTGACTTGTTGTATACGTGTGTGTGTGGGTTGATGTTCTCAGGAGCTGCGTTGCGAGCACTCGTGCTCACGTGGGTTTCCGCTGTGACTGTGGGTATAAATCTTGCGTGAGTCGGCATAATCTGCACATGAGTCACCCACATGGAAGCGGTTCACTTGTCACATCAACTCAGTTTCGATTCTGTGTACATAAGCAAGTGAGGGTGAGATCTTCTTGATACTGTATGTGTGCGTGTGTGTTCATCGAGTGAGTACAGTTATACTACTTATTTTTGTGAATTAACGTCCCAAGCAGTAGTATTCGGTAATGGCAAACAGCTATGCCAGTTGGAAACTGTGAAAAGTGGCGAAAAATATAACCAGCCTCCAAGGTCAGGGGGGAAAGCAGGAAGAAGAAAAATTTGTTTGATCGACAAAGCATTGGCGGCGAGGCGATTGGCGCTCGTCAGATTCACCATTTTGCAGATGAATTCCACGATAAATAATACCGGTGAGGAGGAACAAGCGCATTCGCCGATGAACACTGTTTCACATAGCCCGCTAGGCCTCACACATGGTCACACGATCCACAAGTCCTGTGGATTGCTTCGGCGAAAAGAAGTCTTTGCCCATCTGACTGATAGTGAAAAGGCTTTCGTATGAGTATGCAGATGAGTGTATTTCTCGAGGCTTTCGTACTATTTCGAAAAAGTTTGGTGACAATCGGTAGATTTATTGCTAGGCAACGTTTCGCTTTTGACACAAAAGCTTCGTCAGGCCAAGTGACTAGGTTCCGAGGTTGATCGAGATTTAAGGCGGAAGGAGAACCAATCAGCTAAGTCAAGCTAAATCTCTGTTGGGTGTCGGCCGAGGGATTTTAGTGTGTTAGAGTGGTTGAACAAGTGTTGGGTCGGTGGGGAAACCTACATGTGTTTGGGTCCTGCCTAGGGTCTAGTTCTTCTGGTTCGGTTCATTTGATGGTTCCTCTTGAACTTCGTTTGAACCTTCTGTTAGTCTGTGTGGGTGAGCTAGTGCTAAGAAAGTTGTGTAGGAGGGATGCTGTGACCTTTGGTCGGTTGGGGTTTCCACCCCTACCCCCCGGTTTTTTCTAATGATCCTAAGTGGATTGACAACCACACCGTCACGTGTCAACTCGGCTTATCTAAGACCGCTTTCCATACGCTCGCTAGCTCCACACCCTCGATTCTATTCACGCTGTGATGCTTAGTGATTTCCACCGCCTCGGCTATCAGCCGTTGTGGTGTGAATCGCAGTCCCCGTCTTAAGACTTCCACATTCTCCAGATCTATTCTATGTCCCGTGTCTAAGGCATGTACCGCCATCGCTGAGTCTTTGACCAGCGTTTGGTATTCTTCTGCATTCCTTGGTGGCTTGTTAATCCTTCTTTTATGCTCACCAATTCTGGTGTGCAATTCCCTGGCAGTTTGTCCTATATAAACCTTAGCACAATCGTTGCAGTTAATTTTGTACACACAGTCCCTAGTCCTTTCAGCCGGCAGGGGATCTTTCAATTGCACCAAAACTGAGCGTAGCGTTTTTCCCTTCTGAAAAGCTACTCTAATGTTGGCTAAGTTCAACAATCTTCGAATAACCTCCGATGTTCCTGCTTTATATGGAATGACTGCTGTGCCAATCCATTCTTTACTGGGTCTAGATACTGGAACCAATATCTTCCTTAGTTGTCGCCTAATCAAACTCACTGGGTATCCTATTTCTTGAAGTTTGTTGGCAATCTCGATTTGAGCTGCCGTCCGGTCGATCTCTTCTGTGCACAGCGCTCTAACTCGACGAAACATCGATGAGACAATGCTGGCGTACACGGACTTTGGGTGTGCTGATGAATAGCTTAAGACGGTTCCCGTGTCTGTTGGTTTCTGGTAGACAGTCGTTTTCAATTTCCCACCAACCTTATGTGTTATACAGTCCAGAAAGGGTAATGTGCCCGATGTGGACTCTATCTCCATGCTAAACTTAATGTGTGGGTTTAAACTATTGAGATAGTCGTGGAAGCTGTTTACGTTGTCTCGTTTGATCACAACAAACGTGTCGTCAACATAACGCCAAAAACTTTGGGTGGACAATGATATCCGGCCAAAGCTATTTGTTCGAAGTCCTGCATGTAAATACTGGCTAAAACTGGGGATATTGGAGATCCCATTGCAAGGCCTTGTTCTTGTGAGTAAACAGTTGTGTCAAAAACAAACTTATCAAGATTCAAACACACTCTTATGCCCTCAACTATTTCATCCACCGAGAGCTGTGTCCGTTCCCCGAGTGTTGTGTCTGTCAGTAACAACCTCTTAGTTACCTCCAGAGCATCTGCCCTAGGGGTGTTTGTGTACATTTATATTACGTCAAAACTCACGAGGACTTCGTCCATCTCCAAAGGAAGCCCTGCGACCTTGTTGGCAAAGTCATACGAATGCCTAATGAAGGTGCTTGATTTCCCCGTGAGCGGTTTTAGTATACTAGCTAAGAATCTGGCCAGTTCATGCGGCGGCGCGCCTATACCATCCACTATTGGCCTTATCGGTACATCTGCCTTGTGGATTTTTGGCAGTCCGTAGAGTCGCGGTTGAATCGCACTTTTTGGATACAACCGATACCACTTACATTGCCCCAAATGGTTTATTACGCATCTTAAATATCTCCCAACTTCAACCTTACTCTTATTCATTATTGAAGTAATACTGCTACCGGTAGTTTGTCGGTAGGGTCCATCGGCGAGGTGTTGCCTGACCTTTTGAAGATAGTCGCTCTTATTCATCACTACTGTGGCTTTACCCTTATCGGCCTTGGTAATGACAATACTATCTACCTGTCTCAGTGTGTTCAACGCTCTCCGCTCTGATGGTGCAATATTTGGAGCTCCCGGCTGTTGGGATTTCAGGACTGTGACCGGTTGTATCCGTAGCTTCTCAGCTTCCGCTGAAGGAAGCTTTTGAAACACTGACTCTACACTAGGAATTATCTCCTCCGCTGTTATTACTTTTTTGCTCACAGCGAAGTTTAGCCCCTTTTCTAACAGACAGCGTTCGTCTTCACTCAGTGGTCTATCTGACAAATTAACTACACTACAGTAATTGGTGGATGGTTTCTTTGTTTCTATGACTTTTTTGGGGCCCTGAGTCATGGAAAGCAGTTGTTCGAACTTAGGGATCTGCCTATCCTTGCATTGCCGGCCCTGTGCAAGCTTCACTTCTGTGGCTTTGGTGTTGAGCATCTGGAAGTCGGTGGTTGAGATTGCGGTCTGAAGAGTTTGGCTGAGTTGACTGGCGTGGCGGCGTACATCGGTTAAACGCTGGGTGGTTAGGTAGATTCTCTGCTTGAGGAATGACTTGGCCGCTGACAAAGCAATTTTAGCAGAAGCAGCTGACGTATCCGGTGGTTTCACAATCAGGGAGTTGGGAATGATGTTGTGCTTTAAGCGTCGAATGTTGAATACGCGATGGTTCTCCCATTTTGCCTCCAGTCCCACCAATCGAACGTACTCGCTTGACATTTTTCGAACCTGAAGTCCGTAGGTATGTTGAATCACGTGGAAAATACTTGAAACCGATTGGGTAGTCATCGTTTTCGAAAACGTTTAGTGACAATCGGTAGATTTATTGCTGGGCAACGTTTCGCTTTTGACACAAAAGCTTCGTCAGGTCAAGTGACTAGGTTCCGAGGTTGATCGAGATTTAAGGCGGAAGGAGAACCAATCAGCTAAGTCGAGCTAAATCTCTGTTGGGTGTCGGCCGAGGGATTTTAGTGTGTTAGAGTGGTTGAACAAGTGTTGGGTCGGTGGGGAAACCTACATGTGTTTGGGTCCTGCCTAGGGTCTAGTTCTTCTGGTTCGGTTCATTTGATGGTTCCTCTTGAACTTCGTTTGAACCTTCTGTTAGTCTGTGTGGGTGAGCTAGTGCTAAGAGAGTTGTGTAGGAGGGATGCTGTGACCTTTGGTCGGTTGGGGTTTCCACCCCTACCCCCCGGTTTTTTCTAATGATCCTAAGTGGATTGACAACCACACCGTCACGTGTCAACTCGGCTTATCTAAGACCGCTTTCCATACGCTCGCTAGCTCCACACCCTCGATTCTATTCACGCTGTGATGCTTAGTGATTTCCACCGCCTCGGCTATCAGCCGTTGTGGTGTGAATCGCAGTCCCCGTCTTAAGACTTCCACATTCTCCAGATCTATTCTATGTCCCGTGTCTAAGGCATGTACCGCCATCGCTGAGTCTTTGACCAGCGTTTGGTATTCTTCTGCATTCCTTGGTGGCTTGTTAATCCTTCTTTTATGCTCACCAATTCTGGTGTGCAATTCCCTGGCAGTTTGTCCTATATAAACCTTAGCACAATCGTTGCAGTTAATTTTGTACACACAGTCCCTAGTCCTTTCAGCCGGCAGGGGATCTTTCAATTGCACCAAAACTGAGCGTAGCGTTTTTCCCTTCTGAAAAGCTACTCTAATGTTGGCTAAGTTCAACAATCTTCGAATAACCTCCGATGTTCCTGCTTTATATGGAATGACTGCTGTGCCAATCCATTCTTTACTGGGTCTAGATACTGGAACCAATATCTTCCTTAGTTGTCGCCTAATCAAACTCACTGGGTATCCTATTTCTTGAAGTTTGTTGGCAATCTCGATTTGAGCTGCCGTCCGGTCGATCTCTTCTGTGCACAGCGCTCTAACTCGACGAAACATCGATGAGACAATGCTGGCGTACACGGACTTTGGGTGTGCTGATGAATAGCTTAAGACGGTTCCCGTGTCTGTTGGTTTCTGGTAGACAGTCGTTTTCAATTTCCCACCAACCTTATGTGTTATACAGTCCAGAAAGGGTAATGTGCCCGATGTGGACTCTATCTCCATGCTAAACTTAATGTGTGGGTTTAAACTATTGAGATAGTCGTGGAAGCTGTTTACGTTGTCTCGTTTGATCACAACAAACGTGTCGTCAACATAACGCCAAAAACTTTGGGTGGACAATGATATCCGGCCAAAGCTATTTGTTCGAAGTCCTGCATGTAAATACTGGCTAAAACTGGGGATATTGGAGATCCCATTGCAAGGCCTTGTTCTTGTGAGTAAACAGTTGTGTCAAAAACAAACTTATCAAGATTCAAACACACTCTTATGCCCTCAACTATTTCATCCACCGAGAGCTGTGTCCGTTCCCCGAGTGTTGTGTCTGTCAGTAACAACCTCTTAGTTACCTCCAGAGCATCTGCCCTAGGGGTGTTTGTGTACATTTATATTACGTCAAAACTCACGAGGACTTCGTCCATCTCCAAAGGAAGCCCTGCGACCTTGTTGGCAAAGTCATACGAATGCCTAATGAAGGTGCTTGATTTCCCCGTGAGCGGTTTTAGTATACTAGCTAAGAATCTGGCCAGTTCATGCGGCGGCGCGCCTATACCATCCACTATTGGCCTTATCGGTACATCTGCCTTGTGGATTTTTGGCAGTCCGTAGAGTCGCGGTTGAATCGCACTTTTTGGATACAACCGATACCACTTACATTGCCCCAAATGGTTTATTACGCATCTTAAATATCTCCCAACTTCAACCTTACTCTTATTCATTATTGAAGTAATACTGCTACCGGTAGTTTGTCGGTAGGGTCCATCGGCGAGGTGTTGCCTGACCTTTTGAAGATAGTCGCTCTTATTCATCACTACTGTGGCTTTACCCTTATCGGCCTTGGTAATGACAATACTATCTACCTGTCTCAGTGTGTTCAACGCTCTCCGCTCTGATGGTGCAATATTTGGAGCTCCCGGCTGTTGGGATTTCAGGACTGTGACCGGTTGTATCCGTAGCTTCTCAGCTTCCGCTGAAGGAAGCTTTTGAAACACTGACTCTACACTAGGAATTATCTCCTCCGCTGTTATTACTTTTTTGCTCACAGCGAAGTTTAGCCCCTTTTCTAACAGACAGCGTTCGTCTTCACTCAGTGGTCTATCTGACAAATTAACTACACTACAGTAATTGGTGGATGGTTTCTTTGTTTCTATGACTTTTTTGGGGCCCTGAGTCATGGAAAGCAGTTGTTCGAACTTAGGGATCTGCCTATCCTTGCATTGCCGGCCCTGTGCAAGCTTCACTTCTGTGGCTTTGGTGTTGAGCATCTGGAAGTCGGTGGTTGAGATTGCGGTCTGAAGAGTTTGGCTGAGTTGACTGGCGTGGCGGCGTACATCGGTTAAACGCTGGGTGGTTAGGTAGATTCTCTGCTTGAGGAATGACTTGGCCGCTGACAAAGCAATTTTAGCAGAAGCAGCTGACGTATCCGGTGGTTTCACAATCAGGGAGTTGGGAATGATGTTGTGCTTTAAGCGTCGAATGTTGAATACGCGATGGTTCTCCCATTTTGCCTCCAGTCCCACCAATCGAACGTACTCGCTTGACATTTTTCGAACCTGAAGTCCGTAGGTATGTTGAATCACGTGGAAAATACTTGAAACCGATTGGGTAGTCATCGTTTTCGAAAACGTTTAGTGACAATCGGTAGATTTATTGCTGGGCAACGTTTCGCTTTTGACACAAAAGCTTCGTCAGGTCAAGTGACTAGGTTCCGAGGTTGATCGAGATTTAAGGCGGAAGGAGAACCAATCAGCTAAGTCGAGCTAAATCTCTGTTGGGTGTCGGCCGAGGGATTTTAGTGTGTTAGAGTGGTTGAACAAGTGTTGGGTCGGTGGGGAAACCTACATGTGTTTGGGTCCTGCCTAGGGTCTAGTTCTTCTGGTTCGGTTCATTTGATGGTTCCTCTTGAACTTCGTTTGAACCTTCTGTTAGTCTGTGTGGGTGAGCTAGTGCTAAGAGAGTTGTGTAGGAGGGATGCTGTGACCTTTGGTCGGTTGGGGTTTCCACCCCTACCCCCCGGTTTTTTCTAATGATCCTAAGTGGATTGACAACCACACCGTCACGTGTCAACTCGGCTTATCTAAGACCGCTTTCCATACGCTCGCTAGCTCCACACCCTCGATTCTATTCACGCTGTGATGCTTAGTGATTTCCACCGCCTCGGCTATCAGCCGTTGTGGTGTGAATCGCAGTCCCCGTCTTAAGACTTCCACATTCTCCAGATCTATTCTATGTCCCGTGTCTAAGGCATGTACCGCCATCGCTGAGTCTTTGACCAGCGTTTGGTATTCTTCTGCATTCCTTGGTGGCTTGTTAATCCTTCTTTTATGCTCACCAATTCTGGTGTGCAATTCCCTGGCAGTTTGTCCTATATAAACCAGAGCGCATTCGTTGCAGTTAATTTTATGCACACAGTCCCTAGTCCTTTCAACGGGCAAGGGATCTTTCCATTGCACCACAAATGAACGTAGCGTTTTTCCCTTCTGAAAAGCGGCTCGAATGTTGGCTAGGTTCAACAGTCTTCGAATAACCGCCGATGCTTCTGCGCTTTATGGATTGAGTGCTGTGCCAATCCATTCCTTACTGGGTCTAGGTACTGGAGCCAATATTCTTCTTAGTGGACGCTTAATCAAACTCACTGGCCTGTTTGTTTCTTGAAGTTTATTGGCAATCTCTATTTGAGCTGCCGTTCGGTCGATTTCCTCTGTGCACAGCGCTCTGAATCGACGATCGATGAGAGTCTAGGTACTGGAGCCAATATTCTTCTTAGTGGACGCTTAATCAAACTCACTGGCCATCCTGTTTCTTGAAGTTTATTGGCAATCTCTATTTGAGCTGCCGTTCAGTCGATTTCCTCTGTGCACAGCGCTCTGAATCGACGAAACATCGATGAGACAACACTGGCGTACACGGTCTTTCGGTGTGCTGATGAGTAGTTTAGGACGGTTCTTGTGTCTGGTGGTTTCTGGTAGATTTTAGTTTTTGATTTCCCATACTAGCTCGCCGCCAGCTCCAACACAACAGATTGTGTGGTTGGAGCGCACACAAAGTATTTGCCAACATCGTAGATGCAATTTACAAAGCAAGGAAGCCTAGGCCATTTGAAAAGTTCAAAGAGCTGTTCGAACTGAGGAGCGCCCCGTTTTTTGTCGTTGATGGGGGTGCTGCTGCTCCCCGCAGTGTAGGCTTGCTTTGCCAAGCCTGATGTCGGAAGCGCACGTTCTTCGAGCGCCAATGAAACCCATGAGTTTATAGCATTTCATCCAGGGACCATTACTCTGGAGCCTTTGAGTCCCGCCGCGTCTAACTACCAAGCTTGGGGTGTCCCTTCCAGTGCAAGCGCAGACGATACACCTAGCCTTGTCTCGTTAGTTGCTAAAAGTATCCGGGTTGACCAACTTTTGGGTTTGAATATTCCACCAAAATATTTTCTGGAGTAACATTATTTGAGATTTGACAGACTAGAGGACTTACCAAACCTGTGTCCCTTGTACACCAAGCCCAGCTACTTTCTTTCGGAATCGTTGATCTCATTCAAGTTTTTTCAGACACTTTGACCTGAACAGAGATGTGATTTTCAAACGAATACGGCGTTTTAGATAGGTCAGAGCACTTGTGCAGCAATCGAAAAGATTTGGCCTTCTCCAGGGTTCTGTTCTTTTTTTTTCAATTGTAACCCCGATTCTATCCACGTTGTTTTCCTTGTAAAGTTAATATTTGCTCTTGTATTTTGAGACCGATAACGTGTGTGACTGGTGGCTTGTAGAGCGCATATATACATACACATATTCTATTATGTTTCAGTTCGGTGAAGTCGTCTAAAAAAGACCTTGTTGGTCTTTCTTTCCCTCCTGAGACGTGCAATCGATTTTGCTGAGCAGTCCCACATGAATTTATAATTCACGCTCACATGAAAGTTTTGGTTAAAACTTGAAAGTTTATCGCACAACCGAATTCCCTAATGAGTGGTGCATCAGTTCGAGCCAGGCTGGAAACCATGTAGCTGAATTTGAAAAGTGATTGAGACCAGTTATCACACAAAGGCTTCTGAGTGTAATCTCCCGAAGAATTGTCATTTTCGGATCCAAAATCCGTCTAATTGTACGCACGATTTCCACCACTTTTCGTATTTGGTTGCGAGTTTTATTGGTCAAGAGGTTCATTCGGAGAAAACAGACTTTATTCAGTACCCTTGTTCTCGGTTACGGTGACACGAATGAGACCAAGGCGATACCACAACTCCAGTGTGTTTCGGTCGTGAACCACACAACCTATATAGTATCAGAGGACTGGTATGATTTGTTGTTGGGTGGTTTTAAGCCTCCCTAAACATATAATTCCATCAGATGAGCAAGCTGTCAACAGCGACTGAACGTAGCTGGTCGGGATCCATCTACCAGCGGGGGTGCACTTCTAGAGAATCAAGGTAACTGTTATTACGTGGGTGAGAACCACTTGGGGGGCGAGATGGCCCAAGTGGTTGGAGCGCGAATTTACTGACCGGAAGGTTCGTGGTTCGAATCCAACTTCCGCCACTCGACTTCTCCTGTCTAGGCTTGGGCAACCTGGCAGTATCCCAGCCCTCGTGCTTCCTTCGGGTGGCATGGCAGCTAGGCACCAAAAGGGTGCTGCAGCTGAACGCGAGAACCACTTGTAGACAGACACATGAACGGTACTGAACAGCTGATCTATACTGCTCTTCTGGTAACACTCGGAGCTTTGCGACAAACCAATGACCGTAGGACACTAAAGCATGGTGTGGTGAACTTGGATACCTTGATTTTACTGGAAAAAGTCCCGATTTGTTTGGTTTCCATTAAGAGTTAACGGAAGAATTCTCCCACGGGCGAACAGCTTGGTAGCCGATTTTGGTGCCAACAAACTTTCCAGAAATTGTTTCACTGATTTCGCGGTCAAATACAGCCTCCATATCATATTTGCTGCTAATGCGATATACTCTGGTGTCATATTGCCGAGAATAAACTGTGCTAGTTGAACAATCCCAGCAATTGGGGATCGTTTCGCATGCCAAAGCAAAATGTGTGAATATCTGTCTGTCATCTGTAGGCAGGGAGAAAAAACAATGGGTGAACCAGCCAAGTGTACGCATACTAATTTTCCACGCAAGTTCGTGTAGGCTGGAAGCTTAGGTCACGTACGGATCGCTACAAGTGGTCGATTCAAATGGCCTGCGTAACTTGTTAGTGGCCCAGACATGTTTGTAATCACATATAGTTGAGTAAATTGGCATCTCAACTTGAAACCCCACCATATTATTTTTAATCTGTAGCATCAGCGAGACAAAAGAGTCGCTTCGATCTTCTGTCAGTCCGTGGAGTAAACTGACAGTAGCCCATCACCTGCATCCGAACATGTTTCGGAACCTATGTCTAGTCTGATATTTCAGAGAATGAGTTCAACCGAGTGGAATACAAATGAGTGTAGGAATGTGAGCTTCCTGTGAGAAAAAACTGTTTTGGTGTATAAGGTTGGGGTTTTTTGTGACTTTCTTGTGTTCTCTTTCGGTTTTTCACAAACCTAGCTTGAAGACATAGCTAGCTAGTGTGAGTCGTAGCGCATCACCAGTGTGATAGCAGTGATTGTCCTAAGGAGAACCTACCTACAAAGTGAATACTAGGTCACTGTAAAGTTTAGATGCGTGAACAATCTACCTCGGTGGTTATTAGCCCCATGCACCCTTCTCATTTCAGACAGACCACCTTGTGTCTAAAAGTGTTCACTAGGCGCCTTCTCATTTCAGACAGACCACCTTGTGTTAGTGTCCTCTGGTTAGTTTCTACTGTTGTGAGCTTCGATACCCCTTATGGACCTGCGGGAGTTTTCCTGGAAAGCATAGCTCCAGCTGGTCGATAGATGAACTGATCGTACTGCGCTGGCTTGGCCACGTGCTGTGTATGCCAGTCTACCAACTTCCTCGAAGGACCCTCTTCGCACAACCATGTGAAGGGTGGAAGTGAGCCAAAGGCGGTCAAACAATGACTTGGCAGCGAAGTATGAAAGTCATTACCAGCAAACTCAGCTGCGTTGCTTATTGC